GAAATCTAGTTTTCAAATCAAAATCCTATTGATTTTGATTTGATTATCAATCTCTTAGTTGCGAAGGGTGGAAGCCTCCAAGAAAGGAACTGAGAATCTTAGATATCTGGGTTAAGGAAAAAGACACAGACTGATCCAGGACATTAGCATAGATGAAGTAACATGAAAAAAGGAGAAGAGCTTGATTCAGACCCAACTTTACTCTCTGCTCTGCCTGCAGCAGCATGGATAGTGGATAAGTCCATAGAAAAATGGAGGCTTTATAAGCTAAGGAAGAAACCATAGGAAAAAGATAGTTTTCTTTTTTATTGTGATTTAAGAAATAACAAAGTTTGCCATTTCTTTCTTTCTTTTTTAAAGATCTTATTTGTTTATTTGAGAGAGAGAGAGAGAGAGAGAGCATTGGGAGGGTAGAGGGGCAGAGGGAGAGGGAGAAGCAGGCTCCCCACTGAGCAGGGAGCTCAATGGGGGCTCGATCCCAGGACCCCAGATCATGGTTGAAGTTGGAGGGAGACTGTAGCCGTTTGAGCCACCCAGGTGCCCCCTGAATTTGCCATTTCTAAGGGTGCAGTTCAGTAGTGTTAAGTATGTTCACATTGTTGTGAAACAGATTTCCAGAACTTTTTCATCTTGCAAAACTGAGACTCAGAACTCATTAAACAATTCCTCCTTCCCTCCTGACCCTGAGACCATTTTTGGTAAATAAAAATTCAGAACTTCTCTATGTCAGAACTTCACAAGTAAAAGGGAAAACCATAAATTGGAAGATAGAACCCATTTGCAACAAATTACACATGAAATGCTTTTATATGTAGCAAAGGAAAATACTCAAAGGTGGCCAAAAAAATTGAAGAGACAATCCATCAGAGAAACAGGGACTAATGAACTCATGAAACAATATTTAGCCTTGTTAGTAATCAAATAAATGTATATTACAATATTAATTTTGCTTCTAAGATTACCCAAACATTTTCAGTGATGTGCTAAGCACCAGGAGTTGCCCCTTCAGTGAGATGGGTGGGCTCAGACCTACTGTTGGAAATGTAATGCAATACAACCACTATTGTTTTATTTGGCAGTATGTTTCAAAACCTTAAAATGTTCATACTTTTCACCCATTAATGTCACTTTCTGAATGTTTAAGCACCCAGAAAGGGAAAATAAAAGAGGTAGAAGGCAATTAGCCAAAAAATGGTGGCTATCTTGAGATTTCAAAGTGGCTATCTTGAGATTTGATATTTTCAAAATATCAAAATATTAAAGATTTTCAACAATGAGTATGTAATTTTCAGTAACGAGTTTATATTGCTCTTATAATCAAAAGTAAAGCCTTAAAAAGGAAAATTTTATAAAATAGTATAAACAGCATACATAAATCTTTTTTAAAGTTTAAATATCCAGGCATTATTCAACTAATTAATTTCACTTAGTATTTGTGAAACTGAAATAAACTGTGCCAGAATTTTATCTTGGAAGTCAAAGTCTGGATATTTTTTTGCAGACAGACTTTCATATTTAGTAAAATTGAATTTTAACCTAATTTTGACACTTGCGGTTTTAGGAAGCTGAAATATGGCACTTTGGGTACACAATGGATTTAGTACTTCTGTAAGGTGTTCTGTGAACCTAATTCCCATTTATTATTTTGACACTTTGGGGGAAAATGAAATGTAACTTCCAAACAACATTCATATGCTTGGAAAAGCCCTTCTTGAATATAAGAATTCTGAGAAAACTGCATTTTAAAAATTATTTTGCAGATTTTTTTATAGAGATCTTTTAAGTCATCTGTATATCCAACAAGGGGTTTGAACTCATAGTCTCAAGGTCAAGAGTCACATGCTCCACTAACTAGCCAGCCAGGCGCCCCTTTTTCAAGTATTTTTTAAACTTCATATTCTCTTGAAAAATTTTATGTTACCTGGTATGAAAAACATCACGAGAGAACACAGTCCTATATTTACATTGATATTTCTGTTGCCATTGCACTTAAAGAGTTCAAAATGCCTATTGGGTTGACCTACCTGATTAGCAGTACGGGGAAGTGAATGAAGGTTGCAAAAGTTGGATTTGGGTCATGTCCACCGGCAAGATAGCACACACAGTGCATAAACTATGAGAACCCCTGTATCCTAGGTATATGGACTATTGAGAGAGGGAACCCGAGCTGATGCTCTCAGTAGTGGGGGGCTCTCCCTAAATGCAGACTGTGCCCTGAAGGTGGAGAGGCTGCCTCAGCTCTGGTTTGACCCAAGGACCCTGGCAGAAAATCTGATCTGACCTGACATGTGATTGTTACCAAGTCTCAGCCAAGAATGTGCTCTGCTGGAAAGGGCATTCATCACTCCTACCATTAGGAGTGCAGTTAGACATGAGCATTTGAGGGCCTTCTGTGCCAGCAGGGATAAAATGAACAGATAAACTCCTCACGTACCAATTCAAACCCAATTTATGGGAGTGAAGAGCAGCATGAGAACCTAATGAATTGGCTTTAAATATTCAGATTAGTTGGGAACTGACTCGATCTGGTCCCATGGAGCCTAGAGTGGCCAAGGAATTGTGAGGCACCCATTCATTTGAGAAGCGAAGAGAATAACAAAGCCCCAAAGGTCTTTAAGAGAAACAATTAAAGGACATCCAATAAAAAAAAAAAAAAAAAACACATGCCCAGGGCACCTGGGTGGCTCAGTGGTTGAGCGTCTGCCTTTGGCTCAGGTCATGATCCCTGGGTCCTGGGATTGGGTCTCCCTGCATGGAGCCTGCTTCTCCCTCTGCCTATGTCTCTGCCTCTCTCTCTGGCTCTCATGAATAAACAAAATCTAAAAAAAAAAAAAAAATACATTTCCAACTCTGCTCTCTGGATGGATAAAGGGAGGATCTTGTTTTTCCTTTTCTAGCTTCAGAAAAAAGAGATAACTTACGCATACTTTCTTAAGTGCTATATTACTTTACCTGGAATGATACTAAACATTTTTAGGTCTTCATTTTTAATCACAAACTCATGTATTTTTTAATGCTATTGAAAAGGCACAAATGTATGCCCTCCTTTTTCTCTTCAACACCTTAAACCACAGAAAATTCAGAACAGTGTCCTGGCCTCATTGAATTTAATCCCAAGGTCTGTTTCTGACTGTCATCTATTCCTGCTCCCCAAATTTAAGATTAAAACAGAAGCTCTGGGCAGCCCTGATGGCTCAGCGGTTTAGTGCCACCTTCAGCCCAGGGCGTGATCCTGGAGACCCAGGATCGAGTCCCACGCCAGGCTCTCTGCATGGAGCCTGTTTCTCCCTCTGCCTGTGTCTCTGCCTCTCTCTCTTTCTCTCTCTCTGTCTCTCATGAATAAATAAATAAAATCTTTAAAAAATAAATAAATAAAACAGAAACTCTATGGCTGCAGGTTAAGGAGATGAACAATAAAATATATATAGGTATATCCACTATAAATTATATGTATATTTTAATCCTCTGGTCCTTACATTTATTTTACTAGAAGATGAAAGCTAGACTGGGAGGGGGTCCATCTTTCAGACGGTTTGTCAGGAACAAAAGCAAGTTTCATAATGAGTGACAACTTTTCCATTTAAGAACTCCCAGGCAACAATTCTTTCATGACCATATATGTCTGTCTACTGCATTGGGATGTTGGTTCCCTTTGTCTTTATCCTATCCTGCTGCTGTGTGATAACTTTATTTTTTATCATCACACCTTCCTCTTATCTGCTCTCTTAATGTTCTCTACTTTTATTTGGAAAGAGCCTCTATGAAGAGGATCCATCTTTAAATAAAACCAGCTGATACCCACAGTCATCAAGGGGTGGTAATTTTTTGCATCCGGCTGCGTTTCATAGGTATGTTCCCAATGGGACAGTCATTATTTTAGAGTCTCTCGGCTTTCAATGCCTTTCTTCTCATATGAAGAGGAAACTGAGAAACAGATCACATCAACCGTATACTTCTTGATATTTAATGACTTTAGGTGATGACTTTTTCATCTTGTGAAAAATTTCATTCCATCCAGGTATGGTGATGCACACACTGCTCTATGTAAGCACAGTCTGCTTTTGAGGATTGTACTGCCCAGCACAGAGTGAGTGTATCCAGTTATGTCCCCTTCAAAGTCACTCACTCAGAGATGCTAATTTTAGCCACCTCTGTGAGTGTCCTAAGAAGTTTCTCTCCAAGCTGTCAGTTTCCAGGTATGGCACATACTTTTCCGGAGAGACAAAGTAGTTCCAGAGAAAATACTCCTGGCTTTTTGTTTATCTTCTGTCTTGGATTTGGACAGAGTTCAATAAAAGAAATGCCCACATTACAAATTCTACTTTGGTATGTAACAAGAGCAATTCTTGACAATTTGACGGATTTGTGGCGTTTTTTTTTTCTAAGGTTTTCTTGTGTTCTTCCTCTCTTCTCTTCTTACTACTGTAGTCAAAAATAGGAAGAGAGAGAATGTGTGTGTGAGTGTGTGTGTGTGTGTGTGTGTGTGAGAGAGAGAGAGAGAGAGACAGGGTGGGAGGGGAGGGTGTGGGGAGGACCGCTAGGGGTGGAGGGAGGAGGGGGGATCCTGCTTGCTGTGGCTTCTGCATTTCTCAGAGAACTTCAGAGAACAACTGTAATACCAGCTCTAAACGAACAGCATAGTGCCTCTTTTTTTCACCTCCCCTTCACCCCCACCACCCCCTGCACAGGTTTCCTATGCCTGGTACTCTTGGTCTGAGAACTGCCGGTGTTACTCCGGCCCCAGAGACTTTATCAGACAGCAAGATTCTGCTTTTCTAGGAGGCAAGCCACTAAAGCTGAGGGCCTGCACAATCTTGCAGATCAGCGCTCTGTGTCCCAGGCCTCGGGGACAGCTCGTCTGTGTTTCGTCAGCTCGCTGGAGCTGCATTTCACCAGGTCCCTTTGCCAGGGCCTCCCTGGCGGCGTCAACAAGTGTCACACCTACTGCAGAAACAGCCCTCAAGTTTCATCACAGTGATGCTAAAAAATATTCTCCAGCTTCAGCAATGACCTAGTTCATTCAAGGGCAGGGAAAAAATCTCTTCTTCCAGAACGTCCCTGGGCATAGAATTTTCCCTCTTAGGAAGATAGGAGCTTTTCTGGAAACAGACCCAACTGTGCTTTGACCTGAACGTGGATAAGACCCTGAACCCTGTAACTCCTCTGAATGCCCAGTCCCAGGAGCAGGGACACCCAATCAATACTTCCCAACACAGCCCGGGGAGCCCACAGCCGAGCCAGCCCTCCTATCACGTCTTTTGGACGAAAAATACTGAAAAGTAAGTATCCAGACTTTGGTTTTTACATAAGGAATGGCTGTGCTTTAAATATGTAGTTGTTTGCATTTTCTGCAATAAGGAACAGAGCAGATGGTTTCCTGATGATACAGAACAGGACGGAACAAGTAGGGGCCATCTGGCACATTTGACTCTATAGGCTTTAAAGTAGCCAAATTATCATTTGTAGTTTAGGTCCATTCAGACCCTTTGGGGAAATGATTATTTTTCATGTCTGTTTATTTGGGCCCAGCAGTAATTAAAATAGACACTTTCTATCTCAGCAATTAAAACACACACACAGGATGACTCGAAGGAGTGATCTGCAAAGGTTTTGCAAAGTAACATGAAAAATTGGAGTGATCATTCTGGTAACTCAGACCCCAGATCCTTTTGTCTGAAATATTTTAGTATTTTAGTCAAAAGTTATTGCTTAGATTATATGAATGATTGAAAATCCCCACTTTCTGGATGGACACAGCAGTATCTTGTCTGACACCCGGAATGCAAATTGCTGAAAAGCTATCAGGCATTTCAAAATGGCTGATGGAGACATTCATCAAGTCATTAAATAGATTTGCTTTCCTCTCCTTTCCCCCTCCCCCTTTTTTTTTTAAATTGAGGTAAGAATGCTTGAGATCTAACCTCTCGAATTTTAAAGTGTATAATGCAGTTTCGTTAACCATAGGCAGGATGTTGTACTCAAGTTGTTAAATAGATTCTTTAAAAATTTAAGGTGAGAAGTCAATCAAAAAAATCCATCGATAAAATGGCCCCACTGTCACATTGCATTTTGATGAACACATTCAAACTTTAAAACCACTGATTAAGGGTGTCAGTTACAGACATCTGGCAATCATTTAAAAATAGATAAAAGCAAGAGCAGCATTTAGAACTGCTTCTGCTCTAATATTTCCCTTCCCCGTTCTTTTCCTTAAGTATAGTTATCCTTAATTTTGGAAGCTTAAGTGACCAGGAACAGTAAGAGATGTTTTGTTTTGTTTTGTTTTGTTTGTTTAACAGCATGCCAGCCAGCTAAGAGTAAATTGAAAGAACTTCTTTGCTGTGAGACTTATGTACCAAAATCCAGGATGTTGTTCTGAATCAACAAATTGACAAATCCTGTATCAACAGGCACTGATGGTCCATTAGCACATTCAGATCTTGGAAATCAGGATTTAAAACAAATTGAAACAGATTTGCTGCCAAATGTCATCGTCCTTTTGAAGTTTTTGCAAAACACTCACTTTCTGGGGAAGGCTTTTAGGTCATGTGGATTCTTGTGTCTGTCACAGGCAAAAATCTCCCTGTCCCAATCTAATTTGTTTTTAAGGCCCCCATGCACACCTACATGTAGATATCAGTCTATGCAAGGAGGAAGCAGTGGACATTCTAATGTGGGTAGAGGTAGTGGGGGGCCGGGGGTGCTGAGGAGTAAAGCACAGGCTCTGGAGTCAGATTTCCAGTCAAATTCTGACTCTAGCACAGTTTTTCAGCCTGTTTGAAATCCAATGTTCTCATCTGTGAAATGAAGATAGCAACATCCACTCTGACCGGAGTGATGGGGACATGAGTAAATATACCTAAAGTATATGTCACATCCTAGCTTCTCCCCAAAGGCCAGTTCTTCTCCTTGGTTAATTTAAAAACTTCTCTCTCTCTTTTTTGCTAAAACTTCTGAATGCTTTTACAATAGAAACTATTAAAGTGGTGGAAGTTAACACATTTTTGACATCAATACAATGATTAAACCAAAATAACGTAGAAAATTAGATTTTTTGGGTGCCTGAGTGGCTCAGTTGGTTAAGCATCTGCCTTCAGGTCAGGCCATAATCTCAGGGTCCTGGGATTGAGTCCCACCTCCAGCTCCCTGCTCAGCAGAGAGCCTGCTTCTCCCTTAACACCTCTCCACACTCATGTACTCTCTCTCTCTCTCTCACGCATAAATAAAAATCTTAAAAAAAAAAAAAAAGAAAATTAGATTTTTTGAGGAAACTTCTGTACTTAAAAATAAAGTGTTTGAGAGCAAAACAAAACAAAACAAAGATTATATTTTAGAATGTGCCTGCAATAAATGAGAAAAACTATTTTTTGTTTGAAGATGGTTGATGGTATATTTATTACCTGTACAGGTAGGGATTTATCAACATCATATGATACTTTTTAGTATATATCAGTGTCATATTTAAATATGAGTTCTCATAATCCATAAGAATGGAAAGTAAAGGTATAAATCTATACATATGAAGTGATATCTCTGTGATTATTATGAAAATTAAGGCACAGGTCCAGTCTTCCCTCAAAGTTTCTAGGGGCACCTTGCACTGATTCCCTTTTTGCTTGGACAGAGGCCTAGTGGAGTGAGGACATGTGAGAACACTCTGAAATGGGCTAGCCATGGGGGGCTCAGCGGAGACAGCAGCTAGATGGACATTTCAAGAGCCGTGGCTGGAATTTCAAGGTCAGTGATGAAAGTACATTATGAACAGGGTGCTTCCTCGTTCTGGAGTGAGGACAAGTCAGGCACAGAGGGATGGAGCAGACAAGAGTCACAAGTAGCCCTCATTGGACAGGTCCAAAGAATGCTAGCCACATCTTTATTATTGCACTGTCTTGACTGAGCTATGGCACAGCTTCTGCCCAGGCACATCAGAGTAGCTTGATAAATCCTTTGCTTGAGCTACTGACAGGTTCACAAGGAAACCTGTTGTTCTTTTCTGCCAAAAAGGAAATCTAGACATTCAGAAATGTAAAGGAACTTGGGAGACAGTAAGCATGTCATCTTAGGGTTGGTAAAAATAAAAGAATAAATGCCCAACCTGCAAGAGAGGAAAAAGACCCACAACTCACCTCTATCTTCACTTGGTCTTCAATCCTGCTCTTGGATAACCAGGTTCATTTGCTCCTCAGTCAGTAGTTAGAGATTTTTCTTCTAGTCCAGTGGTTCTCAAACTTTAAAGCTCAACAGAATCAGAAAGCTTGTTGAAGGGTTCCCTGGGTGGCGCAGCGGTTTGGCGCCTGCCTTTGGCCCAGGGCGCGATCCTGGAGACACGGGATCGAATCCCACATTGGGCTCCCGGTGCATGGAGCCTGCTTCTCCCTCTGCCTGTGTCTCTGCCTCTCTCTCTCTCTCTCTCTGTGACTATCATAAATAAAAAAAAAATTAAAAAAAAAAAAAAAAAAGAAAGCTTGTTGAAATACAGGCTCCTGGGTCCCACCCCTAGAGTTTCTGCCTCTGAAGGTCCGGAGAATTTGCATTTCAGACAAGTCCTCAGGTGATGCGGATGGATGGTGTGGTCCAGGGACCACACCTGAGGGTCACTGCTTTAGCTGTTTCTTGGGCCTGTAATTTCTGGGGAAACCCTATTTGCGTTGATCCTTTCAATCACTAAACTTGCCTACTTTTCAAAAGATGTGTGGCAGGCCCAGTCACAATATGCTAGAACTGGGGAGAGCACAAAAGATAAACCCAGGAGTCGTCTTGCAGGCAAACATCTCACCGTGGAGTATGTCTGTGGGGGACACTGAGTGTAGGCAGCGCACACGGAGGTGAGTGGTCCACCATTTGGGGAGGAGTCTCTTTTCCCCCCCCACCCTGAGGCTCTCAGAGGAGGCTTCAAGGACAATTTAGCCCTTGAGCTGGGGTTTGAAAACTAGTGGGACTTGAATGGAAGAACCAGATGGAAGATGGTCTTTCTGTGTAAAGGAAAAAACACGGAGCAAAACAAAACACGAAGGGCAGCTTGGAGAAGGCGTGTCCCACACGGAGTTGTGGAGTGGAGGGCCAGGGGTGGGAATTTCAGGCGCCCTGGGCCAGGGAGGACCAATCTGGACCAATCAGGGCCCAGGAAGCAGGAAGGCTAGGGTCGCGCCCATCCTTGAGGTCCAGGCTGGAGTGATGATGGGAGAGGAATGTGGGGAATGCAGTTAGGATGACTGGGAAACTTGGCCAGTCAAGGAGGTCTGGGGTATTTTTTTTTAAGATTTTATTTATTTATTCACGAGAGACACACACAGAGAGAGAGAGAGACAGAGAGACAGAGAGACAGAGACACAGGCAGAGGGAGGAGCAGGCTCCATGCAGGGAGACCGATGCGGGACTTGATCCTGGGACCCCAGGATCACGCCCTGAGCTGAAGGCAGGCGCTAAACCACTGAGCCACCCAGGAAGCCCCAGACCTGCTTTAAACTGCAGCCCAAACAAGTTTAAAAAAAATCTCCGGGGATCCCTGGGTGACGCAGTGGTTTGGTGCCTGCCTTTGGCCCAGGGCGTGATCCTGGAGACCCGGGATCGAATCCCACGTCAGGCTCCCGGTGCATGGAGCCTGCTTCTCCCTCTGCCTGTGTCTCTGCCTCTCTCTCTCTCTCTCTGTGACTATCATAAATAAGTAAAGAAAAAAATATTTAAAAAATAAATAAATAAATAAAAGATGAAGAGCGAGTCAAAAAAAAAAAAAATCTCCTGCAGAAGGGTCCTGTGTGTGACTGCAGTGAACGCATGGATACAGTGCTACTCCCCTGCTTTCCTTGGGGGTGGTGCTCCTTATCCCTTAGGCACACTTTACTAAAAACAGCTTGATAATGAATGATAAAAATAATTCTTCAGAAAACAAGGCAAGTGGAGGCAAAACCACAACATTTTCTCCCAAGGCCCTCTGACTGGCTGGGAGAAGGATGGTGGATGAAGGTGGCCGAGGTGACACTGGCACTCTCCGTAGCAGCCCCCTCTCCCGTCCCAGGCTGGGAGGGGACAGAAGGGAGGAGAACTTTCCCCAGGTGCTCCCCTGTCTACAGATGCCTGACATTGCACACATTTTGGTCCAATTTAAAATAGACATTCTCAAAATAAATAAATAAATAAACAAATCATAAAAAATAAAATAAAATTTTTTAAAAAATAGACATTCTCTCCAAAGAGGGACCCAGGGAGCCTAGGAGAAAGCAGAGGACAAGAGGAGGAACGAGAGAGGATTTCTTCACAACACAGTGAGGACTGTGATGACACATACCTCCATGGGACACAGCCTTTGGCCCACCATGTTCAACCTCCAACCAAAGTGATGTTAGCCAGGTAATCCATGGCAGTTGGTCTCATTAACAGTACAGTCCTGCTCTGTATGTTGATAGCATCATGATCTTTCCTTTCTACCCTGTCTTTGCTTGGAGAGAAGACAAGGATAAGCCCAGTAGAGGAATATGTCCTCTCAACATAGTAAGTTGAAAATTAGAATCAAGAATTATGGACTCTGCCATTCATAAGCTGTAGGACCTTGGAAAAGTCACTTAAGCTGCCAGTTTCAGGGGCATTTTTCTTTTTTCTTTTCTTTTTAAAAAGATTTTATTTATTTACTCATGAGAAACACACACACACACACACACACACGAGAGACAGAGGGGCAGAGACACAGGCAGAGGGAGAAGCAGGCTCCATGCAGGGAGCCCAATGTGGGACTCAATCCCAGGACCCTAGGATCATGACCTGAGCTGAAGGCAGACGCTCAACCACTGAGCCACCCCAACGTCCCAATCACTGTTTTTAAAAGGCTTCCCACTTCCCTTCCTTAGATACTTGGGCCTCCATCCAGAGACAACCATGGTACCAGTGTCTTGAGAGTTTTTAGAATCATTGTGTGTATGGATAAGCATATCAGAATATTCTTCTTGTTTTGCCTATACAAGTGATAGCTGCTCTCCACTCTTCTATATTTTATTTCGCTGAACAATATATCTTGGAGATTATTTCATATCAGTACATACAGAAATTCCTTATTCATTTTTAATGCCCATTGCTGTTAAAAATAGAAAATCCGGGACACCTGGGTGGCTCAGCGGTTGAGCGTCTGCCTTTGGCCCAGGGCATGATCCTGGAGACCCTGGATCAAGTCCCACATCGGGCTCCCTGGATGGGGCCTGCTTCTTCCTCTGCCTCTCTCTCTCTGTGTGTGTCTCTCATGAATAAATAAATAAAATCTTAAAAAAAATAAAATAAAATAAAAAATTAAAATAGAAAATCCATTCAGCAGATAAACTGTAACCATCTTCTTACCTGTGGAGATTTTGGTTGCTTCCAGTCTTTTGCTATCACAAGTAAGACTGCAATGACTGCAATATGTGCTTATGACATGTTTGTCTCCTTGCTTCTATTTCAGAAATTAGCTTTATTGGGGCACCTGGGTGGCTCAGTGGTTGAACATCTGCCTTTGGCTCAGGTTGCGATCCTGGGGTCCTGGGATCGAGTCCTGCATCGGGCTCCCCTCAGGGAGCCTGCTTCTCCCTCTGCCTGTCTCTCTGCTTCTCTCTCTGTGTGTGTCTCTCTCATGAATAAGTAAATAAAATCATTAAAAAATTAACTTTATTAAGACATATATTGCATTTTGTATAATTCACCTTTTCCTTTTTTCTCTCCCATCCCGCAATTATAATTCACCTCTTCTAAGTGTTCAATTCAATGATGTTTGAAATAATTTTATCAAGTCCTACAACCATCATCATAGATCAGTTTTAGAACATTTTCGTCACCCCAAAAAGATCCCTCACGGACATTTATTGTTATTATTATTACTATTTTTTTAAAGTAGGCTCCACATCCAGCGTTGAGCTCAACACAGGGTCCCATCTCATGACCCCAAGATCAAGACCTGAGTAGAGATCAAGAGTTGGGTGCTTAACTGACAGAGTCACTCAGGTGCTCCCATGCACATTTATTATTAATCAGTGTTCTCCCACTGCCTCCATCTCCAGCAACCACTAATCTACTTTTGGTCTTTATAACTTCCTTTGGATATCTCATATAAACAGAATCTTACAGTATGTGGTCTCTTGTGTCTGGCTTCTTTCACTGGAATTTTTTTGGAGTTCACCCATATTGTACTGTGTATCCAAGCTTTTTCCTTTTTATTTCTCCATAGTATTCTATGGTGTGGCTATACCCCATTTGTCTATCTGTTCACTAGGTTTTTCCAGGGGGCATTTAGATTGTTTCCAATGGAAATTTAGGTTATTTCCAATTTTAGGTTATTATGAATAATCCTGTTAATATTTGTGTGCAAGTCTTTGTGTGAGTATTTGTTTTCATTTCTCGTGGTGAGATACTTTTGGTAAATTCATGCTTATCTTTTTTGGAAACTGCCAAACTATCTTCCAAAGTGTCTGTACTGTTTTACATTCCCTCCAGCCATGCTTGAGGATTTTTCTCCATATCCTTGCCCACACTTGGTTGCCTATCATGTTGTAACCACTCCAGTAATTGTGAAATGCTATCTCATTCATTATGATATTAATTTGAATTTCCATAATGACTAATGATAGTGAGCATCTTTTCATGGGCTTATTTTCTTGCCTCTGTTTCTCACATACAACCCAAAAGTCACACCCAAGAAAGAAAACAATGCTTGAGCTCCAACAAACCAGGATGCAATATCAACACTGTCACTTGCAGGCAGTGAGGAATTAAGTTTGTTA